AGATATGGTAGAATCAAATACTCTTCATAGATGGAAGGGTCTTAAGGTGCTTTACCAAAATTGTGAATTTCTTGACCCTGGGGTCTCACGTTTCCCCCTGGGGAGGGGGGCAAAATTTGTTATGGATTATAATGGCAAATGATACTTTGAATATTACATGTTAATAACTTGATTGGAATTATAACCTTGAGTTGACAGTTTGATACTTTGAAAATTTTGAGCCAGCCCTACCCCCAAGGGCTGTAGGGTGGGGCCCAAAGGAGTCAGTGTGCTAAAATTTCTTCATTTTCCTTGTTTAGAATCAGAGGTGCTAGTTTCAAATACTTTTTAGTCTTAAATCTGTATGCTAGATATTGAATAAGGTGGTTTTATTGTTTTTTGTCACTTTGAATAATATTTCCGCTCATGTTAAAAACAAAATCTACTGTCTGTAGAAATATATCAGGTGACCGTTAAGGCCCATGGGCCTCTTGTTTAAATAGCGACATGTTTTGGATATTAATACCTACTGTTATTTGTTACTATTTCACTATTGGGAAGACATAGTATCAAAACATATATGAACTCTCCAAAAATACCACCAGTAACATAAATATTTAAAATATAAGTGTTTGAATAATAACAAGGTATTTTTTTTACCTGGTAGTGTTACTTTACACTTCAACAGAACAAACATATGTCTGTTCATATATCTACCCATAATGATTTGTTTATCCCTCCAATTTTTGCAAAGTTGTTGCCCCATTTTTGTACAAAATAACTTCTGTATATCATATATACTCTTTATCGCCAAATATTTGCCCTTTACTTGTAAAATCCTGAATTGCCCAGTGCTCAATTAACCCTTTATATGTAGTTACTATTACTGGTATGCTTTCATATGATAAATTTGCCAAAAAATGACAAAATGTAATAAAATTAATCTGCTGCAAAAAATTCCTAGTGTTTCTATGTATCAGGAATATTGATCCCAATAATTTTGTAAGGAGGTACCTGGTATATTGCCAATTTAATACATTTTTCAAACATTGAGTTCTTTGAATTACAATAAGTAGATATACAAGCATGTTCAATGTTTACTAGTGTTCTTTGGATAAAAAAAAAAAATCAATTTTGACTCTGACATGTGTCTGCCTGCTGAAACACTAACGACTTTGATGTGCACCTGACTAGACCTGTCTGAAATGAACATCTGTATGGAGGAATTATGTTAAGTATCAATAACAAAAGAATAATTTCTGTAATCTTATATTTCACGTTATTACTAAGTCTCACATGAAGGGTAAGAAAGTGATTGCTATAGATGATTAAGACTTCAAAATCAAGGCTGTGGTAATCTTGATTTCCTTTTTACCGGTCATGTGACTTTGCGATTTTCACTCAAGTGGTCCTTAAGGGTTTAGTGCACTTGGTAACAGTTATATTGTAATGAGATTCAATGGACACCCACATTAACAAAAATATCTGTATTCCCACAATATCCCAAATTAGATTTATCAAAATTCATTTTAACTCATCCACCCCTGAAGACGTATTTGAACTCTTCCAATTCAAAGGTTGGAATAGTTCATTATGAAATGTCAGGGGTGAATTAGTTAAATAGCATTATACCTCTGAGGGATAATACTTGTGAAATTTTTAGTCATGTAGACTTGAAGTATGTTTAAATAAACCAGTAGGTAAAGGCCAAAAGTCACAGACTCATATATATGAGTCATGCAGTAATAAAAAAAAAAAAAATGAATATTTATTAACTAATACTTGATGAAACACTTTTTCAAATTTTTAGACTAGAGATTTAATTGTTAAAATGGAGAAATGTTCACTATAAAAGCATGCCATTGGCCTGTTGGTATGTATATTTCCTGGTTAAACAAAATTATGTGAAGAACATGTTTCATAGAAATGTAGTATTTCTAGGAAAATCATGTCTTTGTTGAAAGCAAACAGTATATTTTCAGTGAATATTAACCCACCTGTTCAAAGAATAGAGATCTGCTGCTGTTACCTAAAGTGAAAGTAATAATTTCCAGCGTCTATGTTTTTGGGGTTACTTTGAGGCTTGCATTTAATAATAATAATATACAACATTTATATAGCGCCCTATGTAATTTATAAAATTGCTCTAAAGTGCTTTACAACATATGGATAATAGTATTAGTTATAATTGTGAAACAAAAATGGCTTACAATCACCATTATATACTAAGCAAGAAAATAATCATGTGCACATAAATGAATAAATAAAGGGTGGTATTTACATGACGTCTGTGCAAATAGTCTAAAATGCAGATGTGAAGAATTGAGTTTTGATGTCATTCTTAAATTTGGCCAGGGTATTTAACTTTTTAATAGCAGATGGTAAGCTATATTCCACAACGTGGTGAAAACCTTCCCAAAGTACCGGTTTCCATAGGTCACAGTACGAGATTTTGGGACACACAACAAAAAATTAATGATTCTGACTCCGACCGCAGTAATCGTGACGGCTGATACAGGGTAACAAGCTCCTGTAGGTACTGAGGAGCTGTTCCATTCAGTGGCTTGTATTTCACTCAATATTTGCACTAAATAGGTTTAATAATGACGCTGTTCAATCAAAAAAAACCAAAAATGAATAATCTTTTTGTACATTGCTATTAGGAATCTGACAGAACACTTTAAAATCCTTTTAGTTATCGGTGTATACTGGAATATGTTTATTTCATTTACTATCTTTTATTTTTCTGATGACATGATAAAGATCATACAATGATGTAAAAAAACAACACAAATCACACTTTTTTTCAGAATACACCAAGTTTACTTCGATATCTTCCAATATCAGTATGTATAAACAAGAGACCATTGCATGGATGGGTTGGACGTATATTTTCTGTATTTTTACATATATATAATTATATAGCTTTAGTTGCTATGCAAGTCATACCCCTGTCTGTAATTTCTAAAGTTGAACTTCTGAAAATGAAGATAATTTATTTTGAGTTTCTGTTCCCATTCTGCGATAGTACAGCAATTTGTGTTCGTTCATCGGGCTTAAACTTTCGCTTTAAATGCCTTCTTCAATTTCAGAGCTAGAATCCTGATATGTTGGCCAGTACTAGCTTGTTAGGGTGAATTTGTTATCAGATGTGTTCAAGTAAGTGACCCTGGCCACCTGCCAAGGTCATAAAGGTCAAATGCTTTAAAATATTCTAAAAACTTCTTCTTCAGAATTGTAAAGGCTAGAGTCATATTTTACCTGTAGCTTGCTTGAATGGAGAACTTTTGAGTTTGTTCAAATTAAGGATCTTGGCGCATGCCAATTTCAAGGTAATGGAAGTCCGACATGTTTGGAATTTAAAAACAGATTTTCAATGCATGGTGTGCAGCTTGCTGAGGGCAGAGTTTTATCAATTGTTTGAAATGAAATGGCCTTGGCCCACTTTTAAGGCAACGGGGGTCAAATGTGATAAAAAGTTTAAAACTTAGCTTGCATTGTTAAAAGTCTGCTAACTGGGAAGCTTTACACAAGTTATTGCAAAACTTTCTTCTTGAATACAATAATAACATTTTAAATTGAAAACTGAAATGACATTTGTAGAGAGTAAAGAGTACCACAAAGTCAAACTAGATTGTTATAGTTAAGCACTGTCACTGTTGTGGAATATTTGATAAATCCTTTTAAAAAAAAAGTATTTCATTCAAACCACATTTTTTTCAATGCATTTTGCTGAATTAAAGTTGTTTGAAATTTGAATTTTTAAAAATATAGTTGTAAAAGAAAAGAAAAAAGAAAAAAAAAGTGGAGATATCAAACTTGGGTACCTCACCAAGGTAACACTTTACCAATATTGTCATCAAGGAACAATAAATTTACAGACTCAAATACTGGTAGGGGAAGTTACTCTAAGTAAAAAGACACTGAGTAGAACTCTTCTTTGCGATTATAAATGTTCAAGTGGTATCCTTTACCTTAAGTTATCATCTGAAAAGAAAGACACTGAAAAAAAACATCGATAACTGGGGTATTTAAAAATATTTCATAAAAAAATTCCCATCTTGAATATTTATAGATGGCTCATTAACTCATTCACCCCTGAAATTTCATAATGAACTATTCCAACCTATGAATTGGTAGAGTTCAAATGTGTCTTCAGGGATGAATGAGTTAAGCCAACCAAGCTTTGAACAATCAAAGCCAGCTGGTGAGTGAGCAAAGACCTATTTCAGAAATTGTGCTTCATTTTGAACCTTTTCTACCTATAAATATTGCTAAGAAGAAATAAATTGAAAAATATGTTTCAAAGAAATGCTATTTTTCCAGAAAAAAATAAATTTCATGGAAATGTTATTTTTCTCAGGAAATAATTTTCATAGGAACATTGTGTTTTTCAAGAAAAATATCTACATGGTGTAATGTCTTCTCTGAAGTACCTATAGACCGGTAGTTTTTCATCGACAATACACTCACTACTTAAGTGGTGCTCTAGTCAAAAGACTTATAGATACGCACCTTCAGAAGTATACAATTAGTTCAACACAGAAAGTTTATTCAATGAAATTACTGATTTAGATGATAAAAGCAAATCTTTCAGTTATTTATGAAACAGTTGAGAGTCCTTAGCCTGTATGTATATTTTAAAGCCAATTTGTGTTTCTATTCATTGTAGTGAATCATTCTATAAAACAAATGAAGAAAGAAAAAAAGGAATTTCTTTTGCGTCAATGTAAACTTACTGTATTTAGTTTATACATTTTATTAATTGACATTAAATGCATTATTTTAACTCATTCACCCCTGAAATGTCATATTGAACTATTCCAACATTTGAATTGGAAGAGTTCAAATGTGTCTTCAGGGGTGAATGGGTTAAAACTTTTGTCAGCATCTCTTCATTTTTCACTGTTTGTTTCAAGAGAAACAGTGTGCTGTTAGATAAATGTTCAACTCTGGGTGCTGGGGCTCAACTCTGGGTGCTGGGGCTCAACTCTGGGTGCTGGGGCTCAACTCTGGGTGCTGGGGCTCAACTCTGGGTGCTGGGGCTCAACTCTGGGTGCTGGGGCTCAACTCTGGGTGCTGGGGCTCAACTCTGGGTGCTGGGGCTCAACTCTGGGTGCTGGGGCTCAACTCTGGGTGCTGGGGCTCAACTCTGGGTGCTGGGGCTCAACTCTGGGTGCTGGGGCTCAACTCTGGGTGCTGGGGCTCAACTCTGGGTGCTGGGGCTCAACTCTGGGTGCTGGGGCTCAACTCTGGGTGCTGGGGCTCAACTCTGGGTGCTGGGGCTCAACTCTGGGTGCTGGGGCTCAACTCTGGGTGCTGGGGCTCAACTCTGGGTGCTGGGGCTCAACTCTGGGTGCTGGGGCTCAACTCTGGGTGCTGGGGCTCAACTCTGGGTGCTGGGGCTCAACTCTGGGTGCTGGGGCTCAACTCTGGGTGCTGGGGCTCAACTCTGGGTGCTGGGGCTCAACTCTGGGTGCTGGGGCTCAACTCTGGGTGCTGGGGCTCAACTCTGGGTGCTGGGGCTCAACTCTGGGTGCTGGGGCTCAACTCTGGGTGCTGGGGCTCAACTCTGGGTGCTGGGGCTCAACTCTGGGTGCTGGGGCTTAACTCTGGGTGCTGGGGCTTAACTCTGGGTGCTGGGGCAATTTGTGTTGAGCTTCTAAATGGAACTATATATAGCTTTTTGTGTTTTTCGGGGGCTTGCGTCCTATAAATAAATGTATCAAATGCCGGCTTCATCTGTAGTGTTACATGTTTGAATATGAATTAAAATTAAGAGGTTAGTTTGAAAGATACCTTTAGGTAGATGATATTTTAATCTAATATCACTGACCCTGAAGAGATATTGAGAAATGCATTGTAACGCCACTGACAATACATTACACTCATTAAACCGTCACATGTCTGATAAGAATTTATTTAAAAACATTTCATGATTGAGAGTTAATGAACTGCCATCTTACATAGCATATTTTTCCATGAAGTAATTATTGATAACCTCCCCATATTATCCCCTTTGGGTAATTAGAGATAGAACCGTTATCAGTATTAATCTCTGACCTTATCAGGGTGTCCAGTGCAGGTGTTGTAAATGACCAGAGTTGAAGCTGTGGTCAGTATAACATGTGTCACATCAGAAGTGGCTCATAAAACTTTGAATACCATAACCTCCGATCCCCGACACCAATATTTGATCTAAGCTCAGCTTTTCTTGTGAAGTCAGAGGAATCTGATATACTTATATTTACCTTCATATGTGTACATATTATAAATAAATTTTTAATTACATCATAAATAGTTGTAGCAAGTTATATAGGTGTCCACTCAGGTTCACGAGGGAAGTTTTCTCTTCATGGAAAATGTACAGTAAAATATACATTTAAAACCCTACAGTAAGATATTCTAGAAACCCCTACAGTAAGATATACATAGATAACCCTACAGTAAGATATACCAGTACATAGATAACCCTGCAGTAAGATAAACATAGATAACCCTACAGTAAGATATACCGGTACATTGATAACCCTACAGTAAGATAAACATAGATAACCCTGCAGTAAGATAAACATAGATAACCCTACAGTAAGATATACCGGAACATTGATAACCCTATAGTAAGATAAACATAGATAACCCTACAGTAAGATGTACCAGTACATAGATAGCCCTACAGTAAGATAAACATAGATAACCCTACAGTAAGATAAACATAGATAACCCTACAGTAAGATATACCAGTACATAGATAACCCTACCATCAAATATACAAAGATAACCCTACAGTAAGATAAACATATATAACCCTATAGTAAGATTTACATAGATAACCCTACAGTAAGATATACATAGATAACCCTACAGTAAGATGATACCTTGATAACCCTACAGTAAGATATGCAAAGATAACCCTACAGTAAGATGCACATAGATAACCCTACAGTAAGATGATACATTGATAAACCATACAGTAAGATGTACCAGTACATAGATAACCCTACAGTAAGGTAAGATAAAATTAGATAACCCTACATTAGGATATAAATAGATAACCCTACAGTAAGGTATGCAAAGATAACCCTACAGTAAGATGATACCTTGATAATCCTACAGTAAGATGAAACCTTGATAACCATACAGTAAGATATACTTTGATAACCCTACAGTAAGATAAACCAGTACATAGATAACCCTACCATAAAATATACGAAGATAACCCTACAGTAAGATGAAACCTTGATAACCATACAGTAAGATATACTTTGATAACCCTACAGTAAGATGATACCTTGATAACCCTACAGTAAGATATAGTTAACCTTACAGTAAGGTATACATAGATAACCCTACATTAAGGTATACAAAGATAACCCTACAGTAAGATATACATAGATAACCCTACAGTAAGATATACATAGATAACCCTACAGTAAGGTATGCATAGGTAACCCTACAGTAAGGTATACAAAGATAACCCTACAGTAAGATATACATATATAACCCTACAGTAAGATATACATAGATGACCTTACAGTAAGATGGTATGTACATAGATAACCCTACAATAAGATATAGTTAACCTTACAGTAAGGTAAACATAGATAACCCTACAGTATGATATATAAAGATAACCCAACAGTAAGAATTACAAAGATAACCCTACAATAAGTTGTACCTGAGTAAACCTACAATATAGGATACCCCTTGGTTACCCTATAGTAAGATTTTTCCTAGGTACAACCCTTCATTAAGATAAAGAGACAATATCAAATTCTTCATCCTAAGTTTTACTATACTAATGTGACATACATACAGAATTTAGCGCTTGCTTAAAATATCATTTGGTGCCCTATCAGTGTACGCTTGTAATTCCCGTTGGGTAGTCCACACTACTCCAAAAATTGAGCCGGCCTACTGCCTGCCTTCTGTGTATGTACAAATCTTGAAAAAAGACCCAGGAAAATAGCCCCATTACAGTTTGAAGTAATAATTCTAATGACAATGTAAGCTGTATACAGTGGAATAATTTCCTCCTGTCAATTATTTGCCTTTCACCTGTAAAATCCTTGGTGTGTATTTCGCCCTTCTCAGGTAATTTATATAAAGTACGCTGTATACTTATATTTGCTGACATGATACTTTTTCATCCTCAATGTGGAGAAAGAAAAATAAAAACTTAAACTTTGGCAAAAATATCTCGTGGAATTATTATACAGGGTTATACTGTGCACTAATATTTACTGACAGGATATTTTTTCATGCTCATTGTGGAGGACGAAAAGACAAAAGTTAACTGTAGCAAAAATATACTGGCACACAGTACGTTCTACAAAGAGAAGTACTTCACAAAGATGTTGAGACAACTATCTTGTCTTTACATTTCAGCATACTGCGGATTACAGTAAAATCCAGCTGACCACTCTCCATGGTAATTGGCTTAGAGCCTACACAGAAACCCTGGTTACCCTGAACATCAGTGATAACAGTATAGAGGAGTTACCGGAGCAAGTACCCTGGTCTTTCCCTAACCTTCAGAGGTTCAACGCCTCTCACAACTCCCTCTTAAGACTCAGGTGTGGCGCGGAACCTCCTGTGTGTCACCGGTAGGTCAATGGAATGGTGCTGGATTATCTCCCCTTGTTGATTAAAATACATGTATTCTACCAAGTGATTACTGAGTAGAAGAAGCACATAGGTGAAATGTGAAGGGCAGAATCGAAAATTGATTTCATTGGTGTAGGGCGAAAATTTAACTTGGCAAAAGTTTCACAGTATGCAGTATAAGAAAAAATTAGGTATGAAATAAAAAGGACACTGCACATATGTGTGGTATATATGTATATTTCCTTAAGAAAGATAAGTCTTATTTTCTATTAAATGTTCACAGGATACAAAAGCAACGGTTGTAATGATTAATATTGTAAAACAAAAATTATGTACAGTTTAGCTTCATGTAACTAAGCTTCTCAGGAAATTAGCATACAAAACTTTGTCAAGATTTATTCATAAGTACTGTAATAGCACCATTCATTATGTTGGTCCTGTTTCTGATTCTTCGGCAGTTTAAGTTGGATTCAGTTGAGCCATAACAAGTTGGAAACCTTGTGTAGGGAGCTGTTCCAGATCCGTGGCCTGGAGGAGCTTTACCTCAGCTACAATCAGCTGCAGTATCTGATCCGGGAGCACCAGGTTATCTACTCGCAACCCCCTAATAATGAGGATGGTAATTTGTGTTGTTTTTTTTTAGCTCACCTTGCCCAAGTTGCATTATTTTTTAAGGAAAAAATTGTTGGTAGACACCACAACAGATGGTGTGGTGTCCATTGCTTGCATTAACTTTTCCTTTGAAACACTAATTTTCCAGACTGGCTAAAGGGATATTGACTAGATTTGATTGGAGCATCACTGGACATAGGGAATCAACAGTGTATAGACGGAAGGTGTTTTGATAATCTTTCGGTGGTAAAAACCAGAAATGTTTATATTTCATCATTTGATGTTTCAGTGAATGAATAAAAGGATGTCTTATTGAGCCGTTTATGTTACAGCCTCAATTTACATGTTACAGTGTCTTCCCATATTGGACCTGGAAGTAAAGATTGGTCATGTGACAAGCTGACACGCCTAGATGTGTCCAATAACCAGCTAAAGATGTTGCCCAGTGCCATCAAACAGTGTACCGGACTTGTAACCCTGGATGCGAGTCATAACTGTATGACTGCCTTCTGTGGGGGCTGGGACTGTAACCTGGTAGGTTTCTCAACTTACTGTAAAAGTGAAAAATTCTGTCATGTGGAAATGTTCGGGTTGTGACTCCTGAAATTTGGATCATGGTATGAAAATGTTTATGCTGGCAATGGTTTTGATTTTTCTTAATTTCTGTACTGTATTCGGTTTATCGATATATTCCGCTGTTAATATTTTCATACAAATTTACGAAACGGGAGTATTTCCACACTGTAATAATTTTCACTTTCACTATACATGTTCTATGGGTCTTATATAGCCTGTTGGTCTACTTCAGTCATGTGATAGATTTTGAGTGTAAAATTGCATCATACTGAAGGTTTGTAACAATAATTGTGGCTTCACTAGAATTGAATCAGTAATAAACCATACAATACACAGCATTCTTTATATACAGTTTAACCTCAATATAATTAATGCCTCTTTAATTCATCTGTCATCACCCTTACCGCCAAAATATCTCAAAGGTCATTGTTTCCTTTTATCTTTTTCAATGAAATTATGTGTCCCTCAATATATTGCCAGACCCCTTTATAATGCCAAAATGGTGTCAGTATATCAAGGTTTTAAAAATAGTAAAAAAAACTTACGTATGGCCAATTGAATATAAAACAGTATCGGGTCAACTGCTAACTGCTTGACATTGTGAAATTTCTCTAAGTACTTTAGTTTCCTTCCTTATCAGGAACCCCCAAGCACTTCCATCTGGCCCATCAACAGAGAATGAAAAAGCTTTTTTCATAAAATTAAATATTAAAACATGTTTATCCATTTGTATTTCAGGCTAATCTCAATTTGTCACATAACGACCTGGAGCGTTTTCCCGAAGATGTGGAGATGTTCTGGTGTGGAAGTCTTCATTATCTAAACTTGGACAACAACCAACTTGAGGTCCTCGCAGACAGCATTGTTAAACTTTGTAAGGCTTCCAAAGTCTACACATTTATAAATGTATCACATGACTATCTTGCAGACTATGAGTATTATTAATTGTATTATTTCTGTATTGGCCTTGTTATCGGTCCGAGGCCTGCTGTATTGGCCTTGTTATCGGTCCGAGGCCTGCTGTATTGGCCTAGTTATCGGTCCGCGGCCAGCTGTATTGGCCTAGTTATCGGTCCGAGGCCTGCTGTATTGGCCTTTTTATCAGTCCGAGGCCTGCTGTATTGGCCTTGTTATCGGTCCGAGGCCTACTGTATTGGCCTTGTTATCGGTCCGAGGCCTGCTGTATTGGCCAAGTTATCGGTCAAGGACTGCTGGTTTGGCCTTGTTATCGGTACGAGGCCTGCTGTATTGGCCTAGTTATCAGTCCGAGGCCTGCTGTATTGGCCTAATTATCAGTCCGAGGCCTGCTGTATTGGCCTAGTTATCGGTCCGAGGCCTGCTGTGTTGGCCAAGTTATCGGTCAAGGCCTGCTGGTTTGGCCTTGTTATCGGTACGAGGCCTGCTGTATTGGCCTAGTTATCGGTCCGGGGACTGCTGTATTGGCCTTGTTATCGGTCCGAGGCCTGCTGTATTGGCCAAGTTATCGGTCAAGGCCTGCTGGTTTGGCCTTGTTATCGGTACGAGGCCTGCTGTATTGGCCTAGTTATCAGTCCGGGCCAGCTGTATTGGCCTAGTTATCGGTCCGAGGACTGCTGTATTGGCCTAGTTATCGGTCAAGGACTGCTGTATTGGCCTTGTTATCGGTCTGAGGCCTGCTGTATTGGCCTAGTTATCAGTCCGGGCCAGCTGTATTGGCCTAGTTATCGGTCCGAGGCCTGCTGTATTGGCCTAGTTATCGGTCAAGGACTGCTGTAATGGCCTAGTTATCGGTCCGAGGACTGCTGTATTGGCCTAGTTATCGGTCCGAGGCCTGCTGTGTTGGCCAAGTTATCGGTCAAGGCCTGCTGGTTTGGCCTTGTTATCGGTCCGAGGCCTGCTGTATTGGCCTAGTTATCGGTCAAGGCCTGCGGTATTGGCCTAGTTATCGGTCCGGGCCTGCTGTATTGGCCTAGTTATCGGTCCGAGGCCTGCTTTATTGGCCTAGTTATCGGTCAAGGACTGCTTATTGGCTTTGTTATCGGTCCGAGGCCTGCTATATTGGCCTTATTATTGGTCGGAGGCCTGCTGTATTGGCCGTGTTAACGGTCCGCAGCCTGCTGTATTGGCCTAGTTATCGGTCCGAGGCCTGCTGTATTGGCCTGAGTTGTGTTGTTGTAGTCTACTTTTTCATTTTTGTCCAGCAGGAAATGTAAAGAATAGTTTGTGCAAATGAATGACCTTCACCAACTTCCAAGATCACAGTGGTAAAATGTGTTGAAATCTTCAAAGGTCTTCTTCTAAATATCCCAAGACCCAGGGTGATTATATTTGGTCAGTAGCATGCTAGGGTGAAGAGCTAACAGAGTGACATTGACCCCCTTTCAAGGTCACAGGGTTCAAATATGTTTAAAAGTATTTTTAAAACTTCTTCTAAATAACTGGAAGTCCCAGGGTAAGGATATTTAGCCAGGAACATGCTGGGATGAAGAGCTAGCAAGTGTGTTATAATGAATGACCTTGACCCACTTTCAAGGTCACAGGGGTCAAACGTTTAAAAACAGTCTTCAGACTGCATCTTCTCGATTACCAAATGTGCCTTTATAATGATGTTTGGCCAGTAACAGGCAGGGATAAAGAGCTACAAAGTTTGGTCATATAATGACCTTGACCCAACTTCAAGGTTGAAGGGGCAAAATGTTCTAAAAAAACTTGAAACAATTTCTTCTCAGTAACCACAATGCCCATTGTTGTGATATTGGCCTGTAGCTTAATTAAGCCCATTTTGATATTTCAACATCGGTCCACTTTTAAAGTTACTGGTGTGAGATTAATACAAGGTGAGTGATACAGGCTCATTGGGCCTCTTGTTCTTTCTTCGCCGACTTTTGGATATGTATTGCATTGGGCTGTTTTCTTTTCTGTATTGTGACAATACCAAGCAAGTTGATAAATAACATATTGTTATAATTTGTGTAAGAGTTTCCAAAAATATGTTTCTCATACTAGCTTTACATGTTGTTGTGTGACTTAGTTATATTTGTTTCTTGAATAAGAAAATCAGTGGGTTTTTTAAAGAAGAATGTGTTATACAATACTAATATAAAAGGGTGTCCATTATTACATCCAGGTGCACTGACTGACCTAATAGTGTCTAACAATCATCTTACAATGTTGCCAAAAGCTGAGATATGGGACTGCCCACAACTCTACCTGCTCAATCTCCATGGCAACCTGCTAGGCCAGCCCCCCGGGTTGTCCCAGGCAACCACAGCAACAGGATTCAGGTATGTTATCCTGAACATAGATTTCACGCTAGTTGTCTAAAAAAAACAATGGTTTTCAGATCGGTTGTCCTGACAATGATGTGGTAAAGATTGGTTTTTCTTAAAATAATGGAGTTTATATAAGTTGTCCTTGACAGCAAATGAGTGTAGATATGTCGCACAGACAACAATTAAGTTTAGATAGGTTGTCCTGACAACAATTGAGTTTAGATAGGTTGTCCTGACAACAATTGAGTTTAGATAGGTTGTCCTGACAACAATTGAGTTTAGATAGGTTGTCCTGACAATAATTGAGTTTAGATAGGTTGTCCTGACAACAATTGAGTTTAGATAGGTTGTCCTGACAACAATTGAGTTTAGATAGGTTGTCCTGACAACAATTGAGTTTAGATAGGTTGTCCTGACAACAATTGAGTTTAGATAGGTTGTCCTGACAACAATTGAGTTTAGATAGGTTGTCCTGACAACAATTGAGTTTAGATAGGTTGTCCTGACAACAATTGAGTTTAGATAGGTTGTCCTGACAACAATTGAGTTTAGATAGGTTGTCCTGACAACAATTGAGTTTAGATAGGTTGTCCTGACAACAATTGAGTTTAGATAGGTTGTCCTGACAACAATTGAGTTTAGATAGGTTGTCCTGACAACAATTGAGTTTAGATAGGTTGTCCTGACAACAATTGAGTTTAGATAGGTTGTCCTGACAACAATTGAGTTTAGATAGGTTGTCCTGACAACAATTGAGTTTAGATAGGTTGTCCTGACAACAATTGAGTTTAGATAGGTTGTCCTGACAACAATTGAGTTTAGATAGGTTGTCCTGACAACAATTGAGTTTAGATAGGTTGTCCTGACAACAATGGAGTTTAGATAGGTTGTCCTGACAATCATTGAGTTTAGATAGGTTGTCCTGACAACAATTGAGTTTAGATAGGTTGTCCTGACAACAATTGAGTTTAGATGGGTTGTCCTGACAACAATGTAGTTTAGATAGGTTGTCCTTACAACAATTGAGTTGAGATAGGTTGTCCTGACAACAATTGAGTTTAGATAGGTTGTCCTGAAAAACAATGGAGTTTAGATAGGTTGTCCAGACAACAATTGAGTTTAGATAGGTTGTCCTGACAACAATTGAGTTTAGATAGGTTGTCCAGACAACAGTTGATTTTAGATAGGTTGTCCAGACAACAGTTGATTTTAGATAGTCTATCCTGACAACAAATGATTTTAGATAGGTTGTCTAGACAACAGTTGATTTTAGATAGTCTATCCTGACAACAAATGATTTTAGATAGGTTGTCCAGACAACAGTTGATTTTAGATAGTTTGTCCTGACAACAATGGAGTTTGGATATATATCCCGAAAACAATGGAGTTCAGACACCTAACACAACAGAATTCAGATAGGCCATCCTGAAAACAATGGAGTTCAGAAGTATTTTCTTTACAGCAATGGGATTCACATTATGAACTAGTAGTCCTAAACCAATGCGGTTTAGTTATGTTATCCTGACATGTGTTCAGATAGCTATATAGGTCATCCTCACGTTACAAAAATAGCTATAGCAGTATGTCATAACTAATAAAGGTCAAACTGAATTGCGGGGCAATCATCGTTTCTTGTTTCGTTTGCAGACAGAAGCTAATGCGGAACACCTCTGTCAACGCCTCAAGGATAGTCCTTCCCAAATTCCTTGCATACTGCCTCCATGACTTAAATCTCAAAGACAATCATCTGGATGGTGTGCCGGAGGGCATTTGTCATCTGTCAACACTCACTATCTTAAATCTGTCAAAGTAGGTCAGGCCAAGGGATGAAAAATAGAGAATTACATGATATGGCGGGAAATTAGGTTATAGAAAAAAGTAGATCACTTACAGAAACTAATGTTGGAATCTGAAAAAGTAGGTCATATGAAGAAAAAGTAGGTCACATGAAATAAAAAGTAGGTCAAATGAAGAAAAACAAGAATAAGTTGGAAGACTAATAAATATCTACATGTTGAAGTAGAGAATTACTAATGTCGTAAACAAAATAGCTTCTTAAATAGAGGGTAAAATTTACAACTTACAATGATGTTAATTTCCATTTAAAGATAAACTTTTATGTAAAGTGACGTTTTGATATTTGTTAACCACCATTTGTTATCTAAAAGTACTAAGTGCTTATGATTTCCTAGAAATCCGGCCATTAAATCCTTGCCAAACGAGATGGGTAAACTGACTTCTCTGACCGCTCTACATCTGACAGAAACATCGGTCAAGCAGACCAGTGGTCAAGCCGAAGGTAACTAAAACATTTTTATGTCTTTTTATGTCTTTTTATAGGTAGCTGGACATGTATTTAAGTAAAACCCATTTTGGTCACTTGCTTCCTTGAACACAATTTCCTAGTATTTGTAGATAAAGGAATCATTCCATTGCAGATGATAACATGTAAAATTCTTTTTAAGGTCATAGGAGTGTATTGATAAACGGAAATAGGAAGTACATCCCTAGTTGAAAATCCAATGTAGGGAGACAGTATCACAATTTCCGCATATTCTAATGTTTAATATTAAAGTGATGAATATTGTATGTTTATTATTGACAGAACAGTGTGTTCTTTCAATATTAAAGTATTTCAAAGCAATCCAGGCATTAATTCAGTTGTTTTTTATCAATGAGTCACATGTGTCCATTTTTCTGTACTTCAGGAAACCGGCTACCTATCTCACTACTGTGAAGTTTTCAAGAACGATAACTCTTACATGCAATTACAATGTGCATATGGTTCTATTATAAAATGTCAATTTTTAATTGTTTATAGATAATTTTACACAATTTCAGTATTGATGAAATTGATATACATTAATGCAATACTAATCTATGTCAGTATCATTTTTAGTGACATTATTTTGCAATGTGTGCTTAATTTTTTTTTCAAAATTCACTCCTTTTTACATAAATTTCCATTTAAAATCCTTAAAATTCTGACAACCTGTATTTTTTTTGTGGCAGAAAATTTTCTTTACTTTTAAAGCAATATAACTACAAAATTTAAGGAAATTCCACTGAGAAATGGTGACACAATCCTATTCCCTTAAGCATTATTTTGAGATAATGAATATTTTCGTGAATGTCCTTTTTATGGTGTTAACAAATAGTTATAGTATTCTTTCGCATAACTGAATATTTCGAGACAGAGGTGCCCAAGAGGTCATTAAGATGTGTTTGAATATTTTGAGACAGAGGTGCCCAAGAGGTCATTAAAATGTGTTTGAATATTTCGAGACAGAGGTGCCCAAGAGGTCATTAAGATATTTTTCTGTAGGAATTTGATGCATGATCCAATTTTTCAGACTGTGTATGTTTTTTTCGTGAAATTACCATCACTTTCTGAAAAAAAAAAAACTTCCGTATCCGAAACTCAAATGTCCAGCCTTGTTTCAGAATATAAATATTTTGGATTACCAAAGTTTGGATGACCAAGCTTTACAGATTCAGTGGGGTTAAGGTTGTCAAACTTTTATCAGCCTGCTACTTGAAAAATCTTACTTTAACCTGCAGTTAACGGTTGACAAACCTAATATGCAGTGGTCGAAGAACAACAGAATTTAGTGATAATTTATTATAAATATCTGTTGGTGATGGATTGTTGCTCAAAAACTTTGTACTGATTTCATGGTATTAACATTCACAGATTCTTGCCAGAGGACAAAGGACACCATCATGGGTCTGCAGCACGAACTAAGGAAGAGCAAACCATACAACAAAATCAAGCTCGTCATCCTGGGCAAGAAGGTACAGTGAGCGATCCCTAACCCTTCCAGTGAAGCTGTAGTTACGTAATCTATGAATATCATAATGTTTCTTACTCTACTAGTAAACGTAGTAGGAAGATGGGAAGTTTTTTCCCTTGAAGGGAATCGTATTTATAAATAGCAAAATCTGAGGGAAATATATGATTCACTGAGGGAAACAAAACTTTGTATCTCCCTAATACCAGGAGAATAATTGTTTGTTTTACTAAAAGAGAGACAGCTTACAAAGGGAATACATTATTTTCATCAGTTTAAAAAAAGCAAGTAATAGGGACAATAATTTTACACCAAATGTGGGCCTATGCTCCCAGGAGATGTTCAATGTTTTGCCAACGAGTAATGTAATTTGTTCAAATGAATCAGACACTTTGTTACATACAGATGTTTTACTGTATATCAGATGAAATTATATCACGTTAAAACCATGAATATTTTTAAAAATTAAAGGAAGACAAAGAAAATTTCTTATTAATCTCAAAATAAACAGACGGTTTTATTTTAAAAGAATTTTCTATTTTGATCAATAAGTTATTGAAAAAAGTTCTTTCTAGCCATGTTGAACCAGTACTTATAGCTGGCCATGTGATATCAGATGTACAAATAAACACACAATGATGTCATGTTTTCCAACATCACCATGGAAACACACTGAATGAGATTAAGGCTGTATCCAGCATTGTAATTTACACAACTATTACCAGGATAAAGGGAAGACAACTCTATCTGGACTACTGCACGGAAATAAGATTGCTTTATTTCATGGGGATGGAATACACAGATGTGAAATGAAGCTGCCCGGTTCAGGAAACCAGTTGTTTAAGGTTTGTTCAAACTCTGATATTGTAAAATATCTCTTTTTTGTAGATTTGTGATTGACAATTTCTGTTTGACAGCAAAAGTAATTCAATAACTGTTATATTGCATTAATTTTGGTTAATTTTAAGTAGCCACCTGGCTGAAATTCAAATAAAAATGTGATCAGATGCTCTCAGTGTTAATTATAATTATATGATACTCCCATGGTCCTGACACAAAATCCAAGATGGCCCTTGTGACATTTGATTGGTTGAGATATTTTCAACTTTTCACGTTCCAACAGGTTTATTGAAGTTTTTAAACTTTGTAAGAAAATGGAGGAACAATTAATTCAAATGTAGGCAGCTAATGTCTACGGTTGAACCTAACTCATTGCTGCAGAATTCAAAATTTGAAGTATCACTTATGACTTTTACAAAAATCACAGGTGTAAATACAGGCCCATTGGGCCGTCTGTCTTCTATCTCGTACTCATCTTAATACCTATTTAGAAAATTACCCTTAATGATTTCCAATTCAATAAAAAGCATCTCTTCTGCAGAATTAATTAATTATTACTAATTAAAACAGGTCTTCTAACCTTCAAAAAAAAAGAAATCTTTTCCAAAATATTAATTTTTCCAAATTTTCTGCAGATATGCATTCTAAGGAAAATACTATCACTAAAGAAACAAAACACTCTCTCGATTGTAAATTTAAGGTAATGATAAAGGCACAGTTTGTAAAATGAAGTTATTCATACAGTAGATACATCTATATGTTACAGCGCCCCAACAGTGAAATCACGTTTTCCGTGTGGGATATGGCATGTTCCGATCAGTACATTCCCTCTCAGCAGTGTTTCTTCACCCGGAACTCGCTCTACATCCTCGTCTGGGACATCTGGTCCCTCAAAAACGAACTCGACAAGCTCGGACACTGGCTCTACAGCATTGAGGTGAGTGAACTGTTCTTGTGAACTGATACTGTGAACTGGTACTGTGAACTGGTACTGCATTTGAGGTCGGTTGTGAACCATTATACTTGTAGTACTTTGATGAGTTATGTATATATATGTACTGGTTTAATCCATTTTAACCCCTGAAGACACATTTGAACTCCTCCAACTCAAAGGTTGGAATAGTTCATTATGAAATTTCAGGGGTGAATGAGTTAATGTACTGGCTCTACGGTATATAGGTGGGTCATGAACTTGCTCTAGTACTGTATGGTTGTGGGTTTGAACTGACACTACTGCAATCCCTTTGGTCGTGAATCAGGTGGCCAAGTGGTTAAGGGGTCTGACATTCTGCTACCACTAGCACTCGACCACTTTGTCGCGGGTTAGAGACCGATGTGGGGCAGTTTCCAGGTACTGGCCATTGGTAGGTGGGTTTTCTCCGGGCTTCCACCCATCACCAAAACCTGGCACGTCCTTAAATGACCAAAGATGCTAAAAGGATGTAAAACGCAACAAACCAAAACCAATTTGTTGTAAACTAACAATATTGTTGGATTGTGAACTGTATGGCATAATGGTTGATTAAGAATGTGTGTAGACCATCCATTTTAGAATCAGTATAAACTACAATAAAGAAAATGGTTGATAAAAATTTTTTCAGTCAATGTCATGAACTGTAATATCAAAAGTTTTACTTCATACAGAAACAATGTACGTATTAAACGTGTCGCAACGTTTCTAGACCGACTGGTCCCTTTGTCTGTAATGGCTTGACAATGAGTATCAAGTAAAACTTTGATGTATGCAGGTAACATATTTTCAAACTGATGAATTTTATTGAAGTCATGAACTGTACTTTCAAATTATCTTATCAAATGGTTGATGGAAGGGGATTTTGTCATGTGTTTATCTATCCGTTCAGCTGTCTGTCCATCAGATTTTTCATTTCTTTCCCTTTAAGTCAGTCCAACTCAAATCTCAAAAAGAAACTTTTTTTGGCGATAGCATTTTCTTTGTGATTGATTTTCAGGTCAAAAAGTCAGAGGCCCAGGTGATTTTACCTATAAATAGAAAATTTTGTTTTTGAAAAATATGTCAATACTCAAACATCATACATTGCTTAATATTGACAAAAGGGCTTTTCTTTGATTGCAGATCTTTAGAAAAAATGGCAACTTAAACTTTAAGCAGAAAATCTTGAACAGTAAAAATTATCCAAATTCTGTAATCCCTGTACTTTAAGGATCGTAAAAGGATTAATGTGGTAGGAGATATCTCTTTTGTTTTCAAATTTTGAGAGCGATTTTGTTCCATGATGATAATTTTCAACACTGTCCAGTATTGTGTAATCCTATACCGATATATTCCAGGCCAGGACTCCAAACTCCAGAGTCATCCTAGTCACCACATTCTTAGACAAGGTCCATTTAACGAACGCTGAACGTGATGAGAAGGTGTCGGATATCCTCAAGCTGGTGATAGACCGCTACGGACCCAGAAGTTCCAGCAGCCATCTCTGTAGCCATCTTGACCTCAACAACATCGTACCAGTTTCCTGTACGACCAAGGAAGGTTGGTGGTACATTCAATGAGGTCATGCCCATAAAATAGGACCTCCACGATAGTGATGGGCTGATGATCGATTATAATTGAATATTGATTGGTTTGCCCTTCTGATTCGGATTTTCGTTTACAAATTCCATAAACGATATAATGGGTTCATCATTGAAATGAAAGTATTTAAATGTCTTCCATGTAAAGTATGCTTTAAAACTCATACATTGTTATGAATTATACTACATGTATATGATCGATAAAAAGGCATAAAGGGTGCTTGATATCCATTCATTATAACAGAACCAAACCTAATGTATAGTTAATAACTCTGTGTATTGATGTGATTATAGTGGTGTTCTCACTTTATTTGGGTATTCAGTCCCAAAATATTATAAACTGATTATGCACTTGATCATCGATTTACATCGGTTTACTACTTTCGATAACAAACTGATTATTGATTATGATTTTAAACTGATTGCCCATCACTCTCCACAATGTCAAACCTGTGTTATTTTTTAAAATTTTAAAATTTGATTTTGACTATTCTCCCTAGGATATATTTGTTCAGATATATTGTAAAGAAAAAGTAAAATGATAATAGTGATTATGTTGTATACTTCATTTTATATTTTTTATTTCAATGTGTTTGTTTGCTAAATAAAAACATTTAGAAAAATTTAAATATTCAAAAATTGTCTTAAATCAAATTCAATCGATACCTTTTCAAATAAAACAATCGACAATAAAAATGCACTTGGCCATTCCAGTTTCTACAGGTTCTTTCCAACACTTCCAGCCCAAATTGTTTTTACCATCGTTTTTATTAATTTAAAATCATCAAAGAAATCTTTTTCTCTAGGAATCCCGCTGTTGAAACAGAAGCTGTTTGAGATTGCCTCCAATATGTATGATCCTATGAAGGGCTTGGGCAACGGTCGTCTGCTCACTCGTAAAGTACCGCTGTCCTACCTATCGGTAGAGAAGGCAGTCGAACAGAAACTGGCAATAAAAGTGAGCAAAGGAGACCCCCCATTTATAGAGGAAGAGGAGTTCCAGGCGTTGATCAGGTCAATTCCTAACAACGACATCACTACAGAAGATGATATAAATGCAGGTAAGGACACCACATAACGTTTTTTGTTCGCAGACGGACATTTTAGTCTTCTCTCATTTCACTGAGCTTGCTTTGTTATCAAAACAAATATTTTCAGCTTATCAATCAATCTGGATAAATGGATAAATTTACTTAAAAATAAACATATGAAGCAGAACTAGACTGGGTCAATCGTCGGTGACCAGATAGTTCAGTTGGTAGAGCGTCTGTCTAGAGTTTGGAGGGTCCCAGGTTGGAACCCTGACCTGGCCATGCATTTCTCTTTCTCCTGTTACAAAAATTATATTGGGATGACTTATTATAAGGAAAACGAAGAACAATAAACTAGATTTATTTAATCTTTTCTTGAATTTTCTAATTGAGGTAAGAATTGTGCAGATATTCATTTGAATTTTTTTTTTTGTTAAGACTCTCAAAAAACTGTGAAACAAACTTTTAGCATAGAATACCTTTAATCCTCTAGGATTCTCACAGGTAGAATATAGTACATGTATGATTATTTTAACTCAAAGAATAATTGCATTTGGTACACTTAGTCATCAAGCCACCTGGAAAAATTACCGTACAACGATTCATCATCTGGAGGTGCTGGGTGAGAGATCACATGATCACTTAATAAGTGATGAAATTTCATTTCCTCAGAACCTGGTTCTATTGTTTACAAAGCCATATCGTGAAAACAGATTGTAAAATTTGGAGGCTTAATGTCAAAGGTTAAGGTCACAGATCATTTCAACATTAACACAATTAAAAAAAAATGAAATTTACACACCAGAGTATATGGTCGCATACCATATTCACAAACAAATACAGAAGAAGACGGCAAAGTTAAGTTTCAGATTTGTAAAGGAAAACTGAAGCGTAACTCAAAACCTAACTCAATTACTTTTATTTATTACTCCAGTGACCCAGTTTCTGGTGGAGACCGGCTCACTGCTTCACTATCATGATCAGTTGCGGGGCCTGAACACGATGTACATCCTTGATCCCTCATGGCTGTGTGACCTACTTGCTAAGGTTCTCATTGACGATGATGACTGTGGTTTAGATGGCCAGATAGGCCGAGACGGGAAGATCCACGTCGCCGATATAATTACCAGATACAGGAACGACGATAGATTCCCAGATGAGTACATTGGCCAGTACCTGCAGCTGCTGGAGAGGTTCGAGATCGCCCTCTCGGTCGACAATGGCAAAAAGTATGTTGAAATCAGACTACTTGAAATAGGGGGTTAATTATCTCTGTTGCAAGTCAATCATTATATTGCCTCCTAAATCGGAGTGAAATATGATATCAAGATATTTTTCTGTCTGTTGCTCTAATTTTGTGACTGAAACTAGTCTTGCAGTGTTTGACCAAATCTTTTGAGATTATTCATGAAATCGTGACCTGATGCTCAAGCCTGGATTTTGTGCTCAAACCAACTTTCTTTTAACTCACTTAAATCATGTCAAACAATCATGTTCACAATCACAACAATTGTTTTGGTAATTTTTAGCTCACCTGGTCCGAAGGACCATAGTTAGCTTATGCCATACCGCAGCGTCTGTTGTCCGTCCGTCGTCCGTCCGTCAACTTTTCCTTTAAAACGATACTACTTGTCCTGAACAGCCTAGTAGATTTTGACCAAATTTGGTCTGAAGCATCCTTAGGCAAAGGGCACTCAATTTTGTATAAACGGAGGTTGTGGCCCCCCCTTGGGGCAGAGGAGTGGGGCCCAATAGGGGAAATAGAGGTAAAACCTTTAAAATTCTTCTCCTACCATAGGTATTATGGGATTTTATCCCAATCAGATCTGTAGCATCCTTGGGACAAAGGGACTCAATTTTGTATAAATGGTGGGTGTGGCCCCCCAAGGAGCAATAAAGTAAAACCGAAACCTCACTCAATTACTTAAATTATTACACCAGTGACCCAGTTTCTAGTGGAGACCAGCTCGCTACTCCATTATCATGATAAGTTGCTGGGCCTGAACACGATGGGGACTAGATTTTGTATAAATGGAGGGTGTAGCCCCTGTTGGTACAGAGATACGGAGCCCAAAAGGGGAATTTGAATCTTTAAAATCCTTCTTCTTCAGTTACCATTGGAGGGATTTTATGTAATAAGAACAATTTCCAATGGTTGCTTTATTATCCATGTGAGCGATGCAGACCCTCTGGGCCTCTTGTTAGAACTTTTGAACACAATTTGGAAAAAAAATGACAAAAGAAGACAATTCCTTCACAAATTGTTTAAATTGTTTAAATCAAAAAAAAGAGAACCTTGTCTTCTACCTGACCAGTGAGGGGAAGAAGGTTTTCACATGTCAACAAGAAACAAGAAACCTAGCAGTTAAAATATCAGAATTGTTTACAACAGACTTATTGCATCTTCTCAGCAGTGCTTCCCCTTCACCAATATGTTGTGTGTGTATTTCATTTACTGGTCTTCCTCGGGATGGAAAAGGCTCTTTAGTATTGGGTGTTTCAAAATCAACAAAAAAAACGATCCAACTCAGTTGAATACATAAATATGTCATTAAAATTGAAATCAACTTGGCTGTTTGCTATGGATATTAAGTTTTCAGCATGTGTTTGTGCAGATTGGCAAAACATTGCACCTATTGTCATTTCAGGTTGTTTATCCCGGGCCGTTTGTCACAAAGTCCAGCTCTGCAGTTTCACTCGCAGGAGTTCAGCGGTACAAATGTGTATCGGCTCTATCAGATGGCATTTATCCCAACTGGATTCTGGAGCCGCCTCTTGTCGCGAATAATGGCACGCCTACAACTGCTCGAGCAGCCGAATTGGGTATTCCAGTCATCGATATCAGGCGGAAATCCGTCAATGACTCGAACTGTTTGTCAAAGCCGTCTGCAGCACACTGTGGTGGGAAGGCAGTTCTCAGGGCATTTGTGCGTATTTATTTCAATAAAACATTAATCATATACTGTACACCTGGAAATTCTCACTGCAGTTAAATTTTTCGCCTTCCATAATGAGGGCGAATTTACCATTGCAGCAAATGTTTATAAACAATATCATATGGATAGTGTTTAAATGTACAGGCAAATTTTATATTTGGTGAAAATGGATTTTACCATTACAGAGCGAAATTTTTGACTGGGCAAAACTTTCCCAGAATACAAAAAACGCAATGTTAAAACTAAACTGAAAACTTAAAATATTGTGGAATCTTGACTCTAACTGACTTTGTTAAAGGTAAGTTCTTATTATTATATAATGTGTAAAGGGCTTTTTATGATTTTGGCCAATTTTAGCCCCCAAATCCATCAAAATTCAAAACCTTTGAGCTTTAATTAATTTAGATCACCGTTTCCTTTATATTGAATATTTCCGAAATACTGCTATGAAAAGATTTTTTTTTCAAAAATGGTTGCTATGGTATTGAGATAAAATTTGACCTCTTACCTTGATAGAGGTGGCCTGCACATCAAGAAAAAAGACATGATCTACTGGCAAGATGGCATGTGCACGAGACACACCACGGGATACTTCAAGCTCGAGACGATTCGCTTGCCCCAGGGGAGGGAGAAGCCTTCCAAAATGGGTATTCTGGTCACGGTCCATTCCACAGAGGATGAGTTCTCTATCATGGGAACCATTGTGGACGAAATTGACGATCTTTTGACTGACCACTATCCAGGTATGGCTAAAGACCTCAACTTCCACCTCAGATATTTTGATATCCAGGGCTTTTTCAGGGGTCATTTTGGAGCAAATTCTTTGGAATCATTTCCAATGAAAAATGTTTCTAATATTCACCAAAATCTATTTGAAATTTTTCTTACTACAAAACAGAAACAAATGAATTACCTTTCATATATAGGAATGTTTTTAAGTCTTTAAGATGATATTTGCAAAAGAAAACCCAGACTTGAAATAATTCCTAAAATTCCCAATTTTGTTTATCACAACAAATTTGTCCTTCTAAAGCCAATTAGCCTCATTCCCAACATAGTAGTGTGAATAAGGCCTGGTATCATTTGGTTGATATTTTGAATTACGACTTTTAAAGTTTTTTTCCTGCTTATGAATAATCATGATAAATATGTTTTACTTTCAGACCTGCAATAATACCTAGGCATTCTGCACACAACTCAATAATTATTATTGTGAAATCACTCATTTTCGTGGGGTTGTTAGTTCTGTCCACAAATTCATGGATCAATGAATTAATTACAAATTTGATATAAAGCAATTCTCGGTTTGAGTTTGTTCGTAATCCACAAATTCATGTACCCCCCTTAGATGTTTTGTCGGGAAACCACAAAACTGTGGCCCCAGGAAAATATCTGATTTCACAGTAGTAACTGTATTTAATGAAATAAGGGCGGTACTATTTGTTTATTTCTAGGTCTGTTGGAATGGGATGAGTCCGGCGAGCCACGAGTCCAGAGATATGCTCTGTGTCCACGCTGCTATGATATCTCCTCGTCGTCTCTCCCTTCAGCCCTTGACCATTTTACAGTAGAACACTGTTCGCGTGTGGTCCTCACTGAGGACACTATATCATGTAAGACTGGGGCACTCATTCCACTTGAACAGCTTGTACCAGAGCTTTTCATCAAGGAGATTCCGCAGGAGTACCACATGGATCAGACCCGTTTGAAGGTGCAGCAAGATACCATTCTAGGTCGAGGGGTCAGTGGGTCAGTATACAAGGGTAAATACGGCAACGTTGATGTAGCGGTCAAGTTTTATCATGGCATGCCAACTGCTTTGCCATCTTCCGGACCTGACAGCATGGATAGTGGGCAAGACTCTTGGAAAAGGGCTCCGAAAAATCCATCACCATATACATCTAGTTCCGATTATCAAGATGAAGCAAATCCATACGGAAACTACAAGGACCTGTCTCAGGGCAAGGCTAATTTGGATAATGATGAGGAGAACAGTCTGAAGGTTTGTTGATGGTCTTAGGGTTTCAGGATAGATTTGTTGGTGCCCTTCAATAATGCACAGTGATTTAAATGTCTCAGAACTGCAAAATGTTCATTTCCAAATTTCCTAATTTTATTTTTGAACAAACATCAGGAAATCTCCAAGTCTCGTCTGCATTGGGAGAGGTCTCCTTAAGGATCCTCGTACCACTGCCAAGAACTGTAACGAAGTGTTTGAAATATTTTTTCCGACATGACGACCGCTTCGATAAATCATTTCTGAAAAGAAACCCATACCTTACCGGACTTTTATGAGAAATAATATAGATGAAATAAACCAAATGTAATCAACAAAAGTATTTAAGAAATGAGCAGTCTAGACTAGGATTCGAACCCTGGACTTCAGATTGTAATACTATCGCTCTAACCGATTGGGCTACCTGCAGGTCTTGTCCCAACTGTGCTACAGTTACATAAATGTATATTCGAAAGGAAGTTAAAGGGGAGGTAACTCTATATAGGAAAAAACCAGTGCAGTGATATGGGAATCTGTCTTTAATGATGTCATGGTTTCAATTTAGATGTGAAATTTAACCATATTAGGATCTTGATACCAACTTAAGATGCCCAACAAGGACAAAAACCTCATGTTTTATTGCATTATCAAATATTTCAATATTTGACGTTGGGTTCGAATGACGTCACACTTGACAACAAAGCAGAGGGCCATTTTGGATTAAGGCTCCTCTATGCAGTTCTACCGTTTTCTATTATTGTCTGGTAGGATTTGCTGGCATCAACGTAATTTACTATACGCTGGTGTGTCAATTACTTCAATGTTTTACCAGAGATGTACAAAACCAGCCATTTAATTCTACCGTCACTTCATCTGCAGCTGAACAGAAAATCTGCGGCAGTAAATAGAGAATACAAGTTTGATTGGTCAATATCAAATTGATACTGGTGAAGATATAACATTTCAGTGAAGATATCAGTTTTTAACACCCTGATAATTTTTGATATTTCAGCAGCAAAAATGTAATAAATTCTTTCATTCAAAAATATTTACTACTGTAGGCATGGAGGTCTTTTATGGAGATGAGGCAGGAGGTGGCAGTGACAAGCAAGCTTCACCATCCCTGTGTAATTTCTTTCATCGGTATCTGTGTCAAACCTAAGTTGCTCATGTGTCTGGAGTTCGCTGCCCTTGGCAATGTTAGGAACGTCCTCGACAAAGCGAAGGTCAACAGAAAACCGTTCAACAAACATCGTGACCGTGATAAACGGTTCAAAATGATCTTGAGCAAAGACCTCACCTTCAAGATGGTATTTCAGGTAACATTTTCCTTTGTCTTTGTTAGTTTGACCTCTGCCTTTACAGTGACCTTAACTTGAACTCAATATTTTGTGTCATGCAAATATTGCTTTCATTTAAATATCTATGTTTTAAAATAATATTGGCAACAAAACCCTTCCTTCATTTCTGTATAAAGTAAGAGCATGGAATAGAGTACAGACTCAATTTATCCAGCTACATCTAATCCTTGGTTTTTAACACCATTCAGCTATTAAACAGTTTAAGAAAAGTAAAAATTGTCCTAGCAATCTTGTAATTCAGATTTTATTTTCTGGAAACAAAGGTAGTACATTTTCTTCAGATTATCGAGATGGCCACTAAAATTTGAAAGAAATTTTGAATGGCTGATGTATCATCAGCTTCGTATAATCAAAATTATCTTGTGTTTGATTTGTTGAAATTGTAAGGTGAGTTTCTCTTATGATCTAATATTTAATGCTGATAGGACCAGGTATATTTTAAGTTTATGAAATCTCTTCCTGTGTTAAGTAAATAACAGTGCCCTTTTAAATATTTGGCTCAAAATGTGTAAAATGATAAAATTTGATATATTTTACAAAAAAAACCCAGATCGCCAGTGGCCTTCAGTATCTCCACAAGCATGGAATCATTTACCGCGACCTCAAGTCCGACAACATCCTGGCCACAACACTCGACCTTGCTGCCCCTGTCAATGTGAAGCTATCGGACTATGGAATCTCAAAGTTCTACAGTACGGGCGGTACTCTTGGACTTGTGGGCACCCCTGGCTACCAGGCCCCAGAAATCATGGATGCACAATTTTACGATGAAAAAGTAAGTTAAAATCTGCTTTTTGCTATTCTATTCCAGTATGTAGGTTGATTTTGGTACAGGATAAGAACACTTAAGTCATTATATATACAGGTGCATGGCTGACTATACGTTGGTACGCAGGTGAGTTTCCCAAATTTTTCAAAGAGAAAAACAAAACAAAAACACTGCTTGTTGTAATCCCTTGTAATTGTACCCTTGGACCCCTCACGAAGGCCCTATCCTGGAACCGCTTCTAAATGAATCCACTCCGATCAAGGGCTAGCTATGCCCCTGATATTGATATAAATTTAATCATTAAATTAGAGTGTTATTCATTTTGTCTGCTATCCTGTTCCATGTTATAGGACCATAACGTGGAACAAAATACTGTGTTATGTTTATAATAGTCTTACTTAAAAAGGTGAATATTATTGAATCATTATGGCTTTTTTGCTTATCTGCTCGCTAGTGCGGAAGAGAATAGCGATCCGGTAGTTAGTCGGTCCCGTGGAGATATCACTATACGCCTGTGTTATGGTCTCGTAACAAGGAACTGGTCTTGGTAGTGTTATATAGTGGCAATGCAGAGCAAATGTAAATTATATTTTGATACATGTTTTAAAAAAACCTCCAAATTTACAAATTAGTGCATTTTATATTACTACCACAATTTCATGCATTTTAGATTTAACGGTTATTATATTGATTGCATTATAAATTATACACACTGGTATGTTGTACTTATCTAAAATTATGGTAACATGCATTTTGGAAAAAAATACTTCATTAAAAACATTTCTTGCGTGAGTGTTTTTTGTTTTTGCTATTTTGTCTTGATTAACTTCTATACCTTTGAAAAGTAATGAGTTGTAATTGTCTTTGCAGGTGGATATCTTTTCATTTGCAATGGTCATCTATGAAGTGGTGTCGGGAGAAAGGCCTTATGGAGAGCTAAGCAACATTGGTCAAATCACCATGGCAATCAAGCAGGAAGGAAATCGTCCAAGTCTTAAGGTAATAACCTTTTAAATCGCCTATAATTAGACCTAAATAACCTTGATTTCAGAACAGGACATGTGAAACCTTCCAAAAGCCACTTCTATATCAAAATTTGTTAGAGAAGGGAAGATGTGTTACCTGTGGTACAGGAGGGGAGACAACTGTGTGTTACTGGAAGGGAGATATCAATGTGTTACAGGAAGGGAGATAACCGTGTTAAAGGAGGGGAGATAACTGTGTTACAGGAGGGGCGGTCACTGTTGTCTAACTGGAAGGGAGATATCTATGTGTTACAGGAAGGAAGATAACCATGTTAAGGGAGGGGAGATAACTGTTATGGAAGGGGGGATAACTGTGTGTTACAGGAGGAAAGGTAACTATGTTACAGGAGGGGAGATAACTAAGTCACAGGAGGGGAGATAACTATGTTACGGAAGGGGAGATAACTGTGTATTGCTGAAGGGGAGATAACAATGTGTAACTAGAAGGGAGAATTCTTTGTTGAAAGAGGAAAGATAACAATGTGGTGTAGGGTTTGGGGATGGTGATTGGAAAACTATGTGTCACTGAAGGGGAGATAACTGTATATGTTACAAGAGGAGATAAATGTGTTTAAGATGAAATAACTGTGTTACCGAAGGGGGGAGAAACGTATATGTTACAAAAGGGTAGATAACTGTGTTTAAGATGAGATAGCTGTGCTACAGGTGGGGAGATAACTGCATTCATACGAGTTGTAATTGTCATTTGAGGGGAGACAACTATGTTACAGAAGAAGAGACAACTGTGCATTATGAGATAGGAGAATATTTTACCATTACAGGAAACAAATGATACATAAATTTCCCTCTTTATTTTAGAACTACAATTTTGACACACGTTTCCCACAGTTAGAGGAATTGATGGAAACTTGTTGGAAGGACAAGGGGACTGACCGACCATCTGCTCTGGACATTGTGGCAGGCAGTTTACACCATGTCCACTTCCTGTGTAAACACAAGCAGTTTAACACACGCCATGCGGAAATAGACTTGCTTGCCCCTGTCACAGATGTAGGTGACATTAAGTATTCCTTATACAGTTGTTTACATTATTTTTGTGCATGTTTATTGTCACTTTTCTATTTTGTTTTCAAGATTTTTCATTGTTTAAACATTTTGACTGTTACAAGAAAAACATAATGCAATATGGTATAATTCTTTTGTAATGAATTATGATAATGTAATATACACACCAGTTAAATAGCTCTATTTTTAAGTGGCATCTTCATAACCTTACAAACATTGTTTATAGTATAAGGGATGTGTTTTAGGGGGAGAAAAATCTGGTCTGGCTTTGGGAGGGGACAGACACGGACAGGGCCTACACCATCGTGGACCTGATAAGCTGTACCTATCATGACAAAAAGCCCCTTGCTGGCCCAACGGTCACCTGTATGTGTAAGGTGGACCAAGAGGTGTGGCTTGGCACAGATGTAAGTAACCTTGGTAACATAGGATACACTCTGTTGCTCCATTTCTGCTACCAAATAAAAAGATCTTAAGGAATCCCGTACCACCGTTGGAAGAATGTAATCAGCATTGTAAACTCTTTATCAAGCACTACTAGAGCGTTGATAAATTGATAAATCATGGCAGGAAAAACAAAAGCATACCATGTGGAACTGTAATGAAAGTATAATAAAGTTTAAATGATCAAAAATAATCTTAGTATAAAAATAAAATAGGGGACCAGGATTAGAAAATTTGATCTGCGATCATTATACTGCACTCTAACCAATTAATTCCGGTCACATTGTGCTACATTCATACTGTAAGTCTCATTATTTTGGCGCTCTCAAAGTTTATCGTATAATCAAAATTAACTGATGAGCACATTTATGAACTTGTGCATCAAGGAAATATGCAATAGAGACCAACATACAAGAACTCGTTTGGCGCAAAATTTAGTGCAATAAACTGAGCAGAAAATAAGACTATCGCTCAAATATGTACGTTTACAGTATCCAACAGGGAATTAAGGGGAGGTTACTGCATATAGGAAAAACTACAGTGGAATTCTCTAGTGTTTTGCTTGCAGTTAGAAAGGAATTCTTAGGCTCACCTAAAGTTGAGCGTTTATTCACGTGTCATTCACTTGGCTTATATTTCGTAAGTCATTGGATGCAGCATTATTATCTCATATCCAATTTAACTCGTGAAATCAACAGGTGGGGAGTGACGAGGGGATGATAGAAGTGTGGAAACAACTCACTTCTGGACAGCTCCATTGCCAGGCAACTTTCTCGTGTGACGGCATTCCTACAAATATCCTCTACATCAAAGGCAGATCAAAGGTAAATGTAGTCCAACAAATATCCTCTACATCAAAGTCAGATCAAAGGTAAATGTAGTCCAGCAAATATCCTCTACATCAAAGTCAGTTCAAAGGTAAATGTAGTCCAACAAATATCCTCTACCTCAAAGTCAGATCAAAGGTAAATGTAGTCCAACAAATATCCTCTACATCAAAGTCAGATCAAAGGTAAATATAGTCCAACAATTAAATATCCTCTACCTCAAAGGCAAAACAAAGGTAAAAGTAGTCCAACAAATATCCTCTACCTCAAAGGCAAAACAAAGGTAAAAGTAGTCCAACNCTATTATCTGATGGTAGGCTATTCAAATCGCCCTGCGTCCGTGGTCCGTCCTTTAACAATTCTTGTTATCACTATTACTCATGAAGTACCAGAGGGATCTTTCTCAAATTTTATATGTAGGTTTTCCTTGGTCCCTTGTTGTGCAGGGCAACTTTTGAAACTGATCAGGTAAACAACATGGCTGACAGGCAGCCATCTTGGATTTTGATAGTGAAGGTTTGTTATCACTATTGCTCAGTAAGTACTTGGAGGATCTTTCACAAATTTAAATGTACCAGGTAGGTTTCCCTTGGTCCCTTGTTGTGCAGGGCAACTTTTGGGACTGATCGGATAAACAAAATGGCCGACAGGCAGCCATCTTGGATTTTGACAGTGAAAGTTTGTAATATTTCTCAGGAATAACTTGAGGGATCTTTCTCAAATTTGATATGTATGTTCCCCTTGATCCCTCATTATGCATGTTATATTTTGAGACTGATCATGAAAACAAAATGGCTAAAGGAAGAACTAAACAGATCTTTCTTATATTGCAATGATCGATTCTATTTGTTTCACATTAAGTACTGTACTAGTAAATATGTGAAATGACAAACTCACTTTGAAGGTTGTCTTTTATACACAGCAGTATTAAGTTTGGATCAAAAAGTTACCTTAAGGTGCATTTACTGTTAACATGACTCGATCAAACAGATAAGAGAAAAGAAGAGAAAAGATTGAACTGACAAAGAACAAATAAATATGGTACAATGGTGGGCACCAAGATCCCTCTGGGATCTCTTGTTAAGAGACACATCCTTTACTTCAAAAGCAAAATGTTTAATGTGAACAGAAATTCTTCAAATGTAACTCATATGCAAAACTTAAAAAATTACAGCTAGTTTAAAAGACTTGCTTTCCCTGTACAATGTTGCCTTTGTTTTCTGTGTCTCATATGCTTAATGAACACAAATTGCATAACTGTTTGGTTTGAACATTTAACTTAACTTAATATAAACCTAACCACAAAAAAACATAACCAGGCATCAAATTATATTCTTCAGTTGGGATTATTAATCAATTAGTAAAAATAAAAATCCTATTCCATGTTTCAGACGGAAAAGAAACTGTTCGTAACACTTCACAATGGGAAGTTACGTACATATACAAAAACTTTGCCCTCCAATCGGAAGTCATTACGTACCGAAGTGTCCGGTAGTGGATGGACTTGTGAGCGATTGAGTCAACAGCTTTCTCAGTTCGAGGCCTGTTGTGCCGTGCACGTTGTGTCCAGTAAAGGCGAAGAATTGTGGGTCGGATGTGGCCCAGACATTGTCGTTTACAGTGTGTCTATATCGCTTGTTGAAAATAGGATCCACGTTGCCAAAATGGTTCACGCCTGCATTCCTGAATATGATGAAAGTTTGAGTGTACAGACTCTTGTCCAGGGTGACGGACAGGTATGGTGTTTAATGCGCGATACAGCGTGCGTTGTAGAACTTGACACGGACATGGGCATCGCCACACATATCTACGACTGTGATCTCCAATATCCTCACAAAATGAACACAGTGAAAGAAATCTCTATGGATATTGTTCGAAAAATTGAAGATGGTAATGCCAAAGAAAGTGGTATTGATGACGGAGATGGCGACGATTCAGCAATGAAAAGAGAAACTTCTGCTCCCAAACTGCCGCCCCGTAGGCCCATTTCCGTTATCGAACCTCCCCCCCGCCCTCCACGACAGAGACTTGACAGTGTACCTTCTTTGCCGGTGAAGGTCACACCACCGGACAGGAAAGACTCAGGCTCCACCCTTCCCCCTAATTCAAAGAGGTACTCAATCAGCAATGTGGTCATCAACTCCATCGGGGTTGTCCGGGACACAATCTGGGTCAGCCGTAACCGTGGCGATATCGTCTTCATCTGCACGTCTAACTACAAGTCATTCAAGAAAGGGGAGGTAATCGCTGTGTTAAATTGTAAAGATGAGTTTTGTCAAGATAAGGGAAAAGTGAAAACTGTGCCAAATACTCAAACGGGTCATTGTGTGGTGGAATCCCTGTTATGCGTCAATGACGTCGTGGTGACTGTGGTTCGAGACGACCTGACGTGCTCACATCTTGTCGTCTGGGAAGCCTACAGTTGTGAACAAATTGACAATATTCGGAGATACTGGGAAGTTCGAAGGGCAGAAAGCAAAGGGAAGGCAAAAGTAGTATTTAAAAGACAGAAAAATGTACCCCAGATACCCAGCAACATTTCGAAAGACAATTCATAAACAGTTGTGTGTGCTATCTAGGACTTTGCGTGCTATCTAGGACTTTGTGTGCTATCTAGGACTTTGCGTGCTATCTAGGACTTCCCCAAAGTGTGGTGCTTATTAGATTCAGTTTAGCTGGATTTTGATGTGCCTAATTCATCTTTGTTGTTTAGACTAGGACAACATTTGGTGTCCAGAAATATACTGACAAGTTCCCAGACGACAGCATCGAGACAGAAAGGTTTGCTTAACATTTCTGGTATAATACGGCCATAAACATACCTAGAATGGTTTATCCTCCGTTATATGTCTTACTGACAGTGTGAATGCAATATAAAGGATTTTCTTGTTGTAAAGAAAGATATTTTGTGATATTGTTATATTGATGTGTACTAACCTATATTTGCCAGGAGACATAAAGATTGGTGCCAAATTTGATTCAGAAAACAAGTTTACCATACCGTAAACCTAATCTCTGTTTTTTTGGTATGGTTCAACTTTGTAATTCCTTATGTTTCCAGTTTTTATTATTTTGATGCCATATTCCCTCTTGGTGACAAGAAATCAAGAAAACTAAATTCAATAATGCTGAATTTTTAACACCTGCAGTATATATTGTACTGACTCTGCCATACCACAATATACTGGTGTACCAGTAATATTGTATTGACTCTGCCAAACCACAATATACTGGTGTACCGGTAATATTGTATTGACTCCGCCATACCACAATATACTGGTGTACCAGTAATATTGTATAGACTCTGCCATACCACAATATACTGGTGTCCCGGTAATATTGTATTGACTCTAGCTTCCCTACACCGGTAATATTGTATTGACTCTGCCACACCACAATATACTGGTGTACCGGTAATATTGTACTGACTCTGCCATACCACAATATGCTGGTGTACCGGTAATATTGTATTGATTCTGCCATGCCACAATATACTGGTGTACCGGTAATATTGTATTGAATCTGCCATACACATGTTTCCAGTTTTTATTATTTTGATGCCATATTCCCTCTTGGTGACAAGAAATCAAGAAAACTAAATTCAATAATGCTGAATTTTTAACCCCTGCAGTATATATTGTACTGACTCTGCCATGCCACAATATACTGGTGTACCAGTAATATTGAATTGACTCTGCCATACCACAATATACGGTTGTACCGGTAATATTGTATTGACTCTGCCATCCCACAATATACTGGTGTACCGGTAATATTGTATTGACTCTGGCATGCCACAATATACTGGTGTACCGGTAATATTGTATTGACTCTGCCACACCACAATATACTGGTGTACCGGTAATGTTGTATTGACTCTGCCATACCACAATATGCTGGTGTACCGGTAATATTGTATTGATTCTGCCATGCCACAATATACTGGTGTACCGGTAATATTGCATTGACTCTGCCATACCACAATATACTTGTGTACCGGTAATATTGTATTGACTCTAGCTTCCCTACACCGGTAATATTGTATTGACTCTTCCATACCACAATATACTGGTGTACCGGAAATATTGTATTGACTCTGCCATACCTCAATATACTGGTGTACCGGTAATATTGTATTGAATCTGCCATACACATGTTTCCAGTTTTTATTATTTTGATGCCATATTCCCTCTTGGTGACAAGAAATCAAGAAAACTAAATTCAATAATGCTGAATTTTTAACGCCTGCAGTATATATTGTACTGACTCTGCCATGCCACAATATACTGGTGTACCAGTAATATTGTCTTGACTCTGCCATACCACAATATACTGGTGCCATACCACAATATACTGGTGTACCAGTAATATTGTATAGACTCTGCCATACCACAATATACTGGTGTCCCGGTAATATTGTATTGACTCTGCCATACCACAATATACTGGTATAGCGGTAATATTGTATTGACTCTAGCTGCCATACACCGGTAATATTGTATTGACTCTGCCATACCACAATATACTGGTGTACCGGTAATATTGTATTGACTCTGCCAAACCACAATATACTGGTATAGCGGTAATATTGTATTGACTCTGCCATACCACAATATACTGGTATAGAAGTAATATTGTATTGACTCTGCCATACCACAATATACTGGTGTGCCGGTAATATTGTTTTGACTCCGCCATACCACAATATACTGGTATAGCAGTAATATCGTATTTACTCTGCCATACCACAATATACTGGTTTAGCGGTAATATTGTATTGACTCTAGCTGCCATACACTGGTAATATTGTATTGACTCTGCCATACCACAATACAGTGGTATAGCAGTAATATCATATTGACTCTGCCATACCACAATATACTGGTGTACTGGTAATATTGTATTGAATCTGCCATACACCGGTAATATTGTATTGAATCTGCCATACACCGGTAATATTGAATTGACTCTGCCATACCACAATATACTGGTGTACCGGTAATATTGTATTGAATCTGCCATACACCGGTAATATTGTATTGACTCTGCCATACCACAATATACTGGTGTACCGGTAATATTGTATTGAATCTGCCATACACCTGTAATATTGTATTGAATCTGCCATACACCGGTAATATTGTGTTGACTCTGCCATACCACAATATATTGGTGTACCAGTAATTATGCACCCCCATAGTGTTATACCCAGGTTTCACTGGATCAAACATAAAGTCATGTGACACGATAAAATGAAACTGATCACCTTTGTCATTTATTGTTCTTAAAGTGTTCATCAATATTTTAAGTCATGTAGCCTTTATCATATTTTTATTGTTGATTTTGTCAAGTTGTGATACTATTGTGATACTATATGTGAAAAGTGCTGGAACTGTTTAACCTTTTCACCACTGTAGGTTAAAGGTTAAAGTACATAGGGATGAAAGTGAAGTAAATGTATCATATCTTGAGAAGTGTACAGAGTACAGTTGTTACATGACATGCATGCTATTTATTATTGGGCCTAATTCAGTGACATGATTATTTGTAGACTTTTAACTTTTTTCATCACTATCAAACCACATGCCCCTAAGAGATGATAAAAAAGTAAAACTCACGATGTGTTAATTCCATAAATGTTTACATGTGTCATATTAATGTTCTTAAATTAACATCCTAATAGATATTCCGTTTTATTCAAGGAAAATGAAAGAAATGTATGGAAAAGTTCAATATATTCTTAAAAAAATAGTATAGCCTCTTATACATAACGGCATGTGATGTACAAGGTGTCAATTATGCTAATACAAGTGTTAAACTGTTGAATAAAATTGTTTTATAGTCAGCTTTTAACATTATGGGAAACGCATGGGAACGACACCAGACTTCAAAGCCAGTCAATTCAACTGTCACGCAACCAATAGATTCTTATGATGTACATCAAAGGATCAAACTAATCTTTTCGTCTCATTCACAAGGTGCAGAGAGCAAAAGTGATCATAACCCCTGAAACATTGAGGAACCATTCATCAACAACATGAACATGTTCAGACTACGATTAGTTTAAAGAGTTATAACGCAAACATTTCCACGCACAAAAACTTCCATTTCTTCAGTATTATTGCCTTCAAACATTTCCATACAAAAGGATTGGTCTCGGCATTAAATCATAAACTTCAAGATCGATTCAACAAAGATGTTATTTTGTGTCGTCTGCATAAATACTATAGGTAAACAGTGACTGGGTTTAGGTTGTACCGGATTGTTTCGTTTCTATATACACACACTGCCAGTTGTCAAGGAAATAGATCTGGGTAAATTTTAAATTTCATGGCTCATGCAAGATAAGGAGATCACGAAAGGTAATAAGAATTTTTTCTCACTTCTTCCCTCCCCCTCTTTCTCTCCCAACAATAACTTCCCGAAACAATGATATGATCATGGCTTGCAATGAGTTTAGTGCATACATAAGAGTTTAGGTTACATCAACTTCCTTGTTTCTGATTGGCTAATACATTCCATACAATAACTTATCTAGATATTTATTGAATTCAGCCAAACATTAAGTATCCTTGCAAATATATGCTTGGCACGACGATAGCTTTGATAAATCATTTCTGAAAAGAAATCCATATACCTTGCAGAACTTCCTTGTTTACGATTGGCTGATATAGTCATTGAATTCAGCCATACATTCAATTAGCCTTGCTTAATAACAACACTCGGACCGCGTGATTCAAAGATGACCAGAATCTGTGGACAGTTTGTTGGGTACAGATACTTTCTTGGTTCATATTTGTTGATAACTCCCCAAAAAGTGATTAATTTTAGATTGCTGAATGGGAATGGTTCGGTAGACACATATTACAATGATGATTGTACTACATATCTATGGTCTTAGGTTAACTTGAATGATTGCATTATGCCAATGCACAGACCTGGAAGTTCAAAGATGAGTAGAATATGTGCATATTTGATTAGGACACAAGCACTTCTTTAATTCTGATTGGTTGTCACCTTTAAGGAAAGTATTTTTCTTTTATGTATAGATTTCTATATTTGGTGCGTGTGGTTGTAAATAATGGCAATTAATGCCCACAGTGGCATAGCAAATCTTTTTTTGGAGTGTATGCCTACAGGGGGTCGAGTGTTCGAGGCGCGTAGCACCGGAGGTGGGGGGAGCATGGGAAGGGGAGAAATCCTTTTCAAAGTTTGATTATTATTAACAAGTAAAGTCCGACTTTTTATATGAATAAGATTAAATGTTGTACTTCATTAAGTAGTTTTTGATTTACATCAACATTTCAAGATTTTTCAATGTGTATAGACATAACAACAATATTTTATCAGACTAAAATTTTCAAGATTTTTTTTTTATTCCTTCCTTTTTTATGAATGGAAAAGAAATTATTGAAAAGATATGATTAAAAAAACTCTTAAGCTTATGCTTGAGCATGCAAGCATACATGTATGCAACACCACTGTCCCATGAAAATCCCAAGTTTGAAAATGAAAGAAATATTTGCAAGTTTCTTCTAAATGCTCATGTTTTCACAGACTTTTTTTACTGCATGAACATTGTATTGTATTACATGTACATTGTATTGTATGTACATTGTATTATATGACATTGTATTGTATTGTATTGTATGTGCATTGTATTGTATTATATGTACATTGTATTGTATTATATGTACATTGTATTGTATTATAAGTACATTGTATTATGGGGTTGTTGAGCATGGTTGGAATCTGTATTTGAACAAAATTTCTAGATCTTCTTTTATTCTGACTGGTTTATGATTTCCTGATATGCACAGACAAATAGCATAACAGATATACCAGCAGGCCTAGGGGCCTGTTCGTTTATGCGGAACAACAGGTCGTCCATTTTTAAATGTAACATTTTCGGGAATAAATCCTGGCAGACCTGCAAAAGTTTATACAGGCCTAATGCACAATGCTTGCTTAAGGCTCACCTGAAATCACCATCAGATGACTGAGTCTGACCTTATTACATGAAGGAACATCTCTGGTCCAACCTGTTCAACCGTTTGGACCGCGATAAACGAAAAGAAAACGTCCCAGGTCACTGTGGAGGACATGGATTCCACAATTTTACAAATGTACTGCAATAGAATTTGACTGTGCCTACATAAGTACTGTTACCTGTTTAAATGTGATCATATCGTAATACATATTGTTGTGACATCATCCAATGTCAAGGTCACAGCTATATATAACTAATGCTAGCCAGTATTACTGGCATTCTGTTACCAATGTATGATGTTAATTGTCATGTTAAAATTGAAAGATTTTATAATAAAACTTAAGTAAAGTTTCCTCGTTTTTGTCATTTGTGTAATAAAGGAAAGACTTTTGGATAATCTTCTATCGACTAAGTTCCATTGTTAATAATTGCTTGTTACACAACTTGGGACAAAGGGAATCATGGACAATAGATGGGAACAAGCAACCACATACATCATGATGGTTGGCGAAATAGTGACCAAGAAAAATGTACATGTGAAGGTTTTAAATATGCTGAAAAAACATTCAGTTGTAACAAGGAGGATTTACATGCAATATTTAAAGCATGATTTCTATAAAAAAAAAAAAAAACCTTTATACGCACACTTAAACATGCTACAATGTACTTTCCTGTTTCAGTAATTTATGTTTCAGTGATTTATTTTACAGAAAAAACAGACATTTCTGTTAATGTCACTTTTGACTTTTTATCATTATTTTTTTCTTACGAAACATAGCTAGATGTTAGAAGATATATAATCAATCACCAAATCATGATAATTGGGTCATCAACGTCAGGCAGGGCCCACAGGGTTCCAATAAAAAAACAAGCTAAACAGGAAAATGTTATTTAATGCCTCTTTATTGTTCAGTGTACACGGAAACATCACTTTATGTATCCATGTTTATTTCTGTAAATGTAATATCTAGATCGTCACACTCAGTCTTATTATGATATTCTGTTTATAACATGATCATTGATGTGTGACTTTATGTTGTGTTCTTAGATGTATGACAATCATAATCACATAATGTCCAACACATTTTTTTGAGTTAACTGCATTCATGGAAGAATGACTGCCACAAACTTCTAGTGTGAACACCATAATTTTTGTTATACATGCACACACATTTTACAGAGTGCATATCAACATCATCCTGTCTGTCCTTCTAATCAACATTTGGTTCGTCCACAGGTTCTTTACTAATGATTCTAACCATATTTTCTTAATCTACATACAAATGCTCCTGACATAAATCTCTCTAATCTGGTTGAATTTCAAGGTCATAAATATAAACTCAAGGTCAAAGTCACAGCTACAGGTAGGCACGGTAGTCAAGTGGTAGGACACAAGGCTATTGACCGAAGGGTTGCTTTAAGTTTGAGTCACGTCGCAACAATTTGTTGTATTTTTGAACAAGATACAATCTCCGTTAACTTCGTGCTACGCCTGAACTGTTCAGGCGGAGCCATATAACAGATGATTTTAACAAGATTTAACAATATACTTTACTCTGCTTGTTCCAGTCTACTGGTTGGGCATTGCTAGAATTGTAGAATGCTAGCTGTGAGCACCGAAATGGCAACACCGGCTGTATGCTCCCCAGGGAGTTGAGAAAGATATTGGCTGGTTGCAATGGCCCTATAACCACGGATAATAATTTGTGAACCACTTTGAGACGACCTACGAACTAGTTTATGATAAAGCAGTATTATTTGAATTATTTATATGATCATGTTATAAACAGAATATCATAATAAGACTGAGTGTGACGATCTAGATATTACATTTACAGAAATTTGTGGTGCGGCGTCCGTCGTCCGTCCGTCCGTCCGTCGTCAATATTTTACTTTAAACGACTTCTTCTTAATAACCGAAAGGCCTAGGGTGATGATATTTGGCCAGAAGCAAACTGGGATGAAGGGCTACCAAGTTTGTTCAAATAAATGACCTTCATCTATTTTCAAGGTCACAGGGGTCAAATATGTTAAAAACTTTAAACAACTTCTTCTCAATAACCAAACTGCCCAGGGAGATGATATTTGG